CTGGTCTTGAACTCCTGATCTCAGGTGATCCACCCACCTCGGCCTCCCAAAGTGCTAGGATTACAGGCGTGTGCCACCACGCCCGGCCTATATGCTAGTTCTTATCAACAGATAAGTCCTTATTATCACTATAGTAAAACTACTGACCAGACAAATGTGGTATTCTGAAGAACTATACCAAGAGAGCTACAGTTCCTGCCTTATAGAAATACATATATAAACAACAGCTGGGGGAAGACAGGGAAATGTTGTGACTGAAGGGGCCGGGAGGGGAGAAATGTTTGAAATCTTTTCAGACTTGAGAGAGCACCATTTCTATAAGTTCTGTTTTTGTTTTTTCTCCTCATTGTTCTTTTTCTTTACCCCGAGAGAAACAAATGAAGCATCAGGTTGAAAACAGAAGGGCAAAACAGTCACAGGAAACACAACCCATACATCACACCAGCAGCAGGAGGAAAGCCCCCACCCACCAGAGACACCCAGGCAACAAGCCCTGGCCAGGCAACTCTCACACCTTTCCCAGCTTCTCTGATAAATAAGAATCAGTGGCGACCTAGTACCTAGGAACTAATCAGAAATTAGAGTAATAACTATTTTTCCAACCACGGATCTTGGGAGGAGCTTCTTACAGGTGACCCTTGTCACCTGTCAAAAATGGTTGCCTCTCGTTATCAAGAAACAGAAGGAGAAACAAAGCGACCAAAGAACTCACCATCCACTCAGGCATGTGAAAAGCCGAGGTGCCCTCATTACCGTCCAACTGCTCCATAGTGCAGGCTTGGGTAAAATATGTCCTGAAGCAAAAGGGAAAGCTGGTTTGGAAATACGGGGGGTATCTGTGTCCCCCAAAGCAGACCCAAACCTAGTGAGATTCAGAAGTTCACAGTGGCTAGCAGAAGCCGCATCCCTTTTCACAGCAGCCTCCGATTCAAATCAAAAGCATTAGTCAACTGCCTGACAATCCCTTACTGGCCGGCTTCAAAGTCTTCTGTTTCTGATTTCAATATCCGAGCTGATGCAAAGTGCGGCACCCAGGCACTGTGCTTCTCACAGGGCACTCACTGTTTAATACTACCCAAACACTCTACCCGCACCTCCCCAGTGGGGACTTTCTGCAGCAATAGTTGGACTTTCTTCTTTCCCTATGTGTGAGGCACTTGTGAATTCTCTCCCACCCTTCAGGACACGTCACTAGAGGTGCTGATACCAAGATCAATAAAGACTGAGGTCAGGAAGGCACTCCCATTTCTCAAGAGTTGCTTGATTTGGATCAGTAAACAGGCGTTTCCTTGAAATCAAGAGCTCCTACGGCTTTCAAGTTTAAACAGCTATGCAGAAGCTTCCCCATCTGCTCACACCAGGGGTCTGGCACCAAACTCTCGCGTATCTCAAGAGTTAGAGTCTTATTGCATGGGAGGTTCAGATGGAGCCTAGGAAGATCGTTTTCAAAATCAGAACTTCTTAGAAGCTCTAAAAAAGCTCTGGGACGACAACACCCTCTGCTGGCTCCCTGTGTTACATACATGAAGATCTCAGGGCTCTCAGCTACAGACAGGAAGGTGCTGATTGCAAAGCAGCTTCCCTGAGGCTAGTCAGGAGCCACAAAAGTGTAGGTTTAGAGGAGAGCCAGGGTTTCCAATCAAGACTAGTGCTGCCTCAAAGTCCCTAACCAATGCTGGACTTTACACACAGGACTGCTTTCAGGAAGACACAGGATGCCAGTGCAGTAGCCCTGTACACTGTCACCTTAAAGGACCTCTGAAGTTGTTTCCGCTTTATGTCTCCATGCCAACCCCCTTCATGCTGCACACTTCAGAAGTTTGGAAATAAGACATAAGCTAGACTATCTCACCTGCTTCATTCATTTCTAAAGTATATTATCCAATAAGAGTACCACAGGTTTCAGGCACAAAGCCTAACAAGATATGCCTGCTTTAGTTCCTTTAAGGACCAGGACTCTTTACAGTGTTAATTCCCATTGAAGAGGATAGTTCCTCTAGAGCTAATAGTGATAGTATTATAATTATGATTATAGGTTCTGTGAAAGGAAAGTATCTTGGGCCCCCAAAATTACTAAGCCAAAGCAAAAAGTCAAGCTGGAACTGCTTAGGGCAAACCTGCCTCAGATTCTATTGAATATCACCCCTCTGCTCACCAAGATAAATGTGTATCTGATTGCCTCTTTTGGAGACGCAGAAACAAAAAATGCAACCATTTGTCTCTTATCTACCTATGACCTAGAAACCCCTCCCTGCTTCCAGTTGTCCCACCTATCCAGACTGAACCAGTGTTCATCATATATACATTGACTGATGTCTCATGTCCCCCTAAAATGTATAAAACCAAGCTGTGCTCTGACCACCTTGGGCACATGTCATCAGGATCTCCTGAGGCTATGTCATGAGAGCATGTCCTCAACCTTGGCAAAATAAACTTTCTAAATTAACCGAGACCTGTCTCAGATTTGGGGGGTTCACAGTTCATTACCCTTTAAGGCTTCACTAGTTAAGAGAATGGTCCTTTGGATTTGGAATGGAGGGGAGAAAGGTAGTATCTATGAAAGAAGTATGGTAAGATGCCAGAGAGGTCAGAATTCAAATGAATGGCCAGAGGTTTGACTAGAAAGGAAGATGAAAACAGAAAGGGACTGTTGAACCAGGTGCATTCAGAGGTATCAAGGGATCACAGGGAGGATGGAGAGCAGGTGAAATAAGAACAGCAGAGGTAGAAGTAAAGGAAGCTGTGGTCATAGGGGTGCTATGGAGTGAGGTGATATGGGTGATGTCAGGACACAGGTTGATGAGATACAGGGAAGGTAAGGCCCACTGAAGTCAGGGTGTCAATTCTGATAGAGTCTTAGCTCCTAGCAACCTCTAGTTATTAATTGTCCTCTGGTCTTCTTTTTAACCCAGAGGACTTCTTAAAATGAGAAGTCACATCTGTTGCCTAAATTTCCAATGGTGTATTTCACCTGTGTTTTAAATGCAACACGTCTAGTCAAAATTATTGCTCCATCTTTCTTTCCCACCCCCCCCAACAACACTTTCTTCTCCTCACTTTTCTACTTGTGTTTGTGATGCCACTGTCCTAGGCAACCACACATGAAACCTCAGGCACCTTTAATTTCCCCCTTTTCCGCAGTCCCCAGAACAATCAGTTGTGTATTATTTCTGCGCCCTCCTCCACCAAACTTTTCATCTATCCCTTTCTATTCATTTTCACTGCCTCTTAAAAACCCTCTACAAATCCTTTCCCAGAAGACTATCCAGTTCACACACACACACACACACACACACACACACACACACGCACTCTATTCTCCAGGTAGACCGTATTATTTGCTATTTCTTGAATGTAAAGACTACAGTATTGCAACCATGAACACTGGTTTTGGAATCAGACAGTTAGGTTAGAATCCTGTCTCTGCCACTTATTTGATCTCTCTATGTAGCTCCAATTTCCAATTTGTATGGTGGAAATAATAATGGCCACTCACCTAATGGGACTGACACAAGGATTTTAAAAGGGTACATACTCTAAGTAGTTAATTAATGTAGCTCTTAATTATGTTGTTACGATGTGTTCTTTCCCACTTCAATGCCTTTCCTCATGTCATTTTCTCAAATCAAAATGCATTCGTTTCTGCCTTCACTTCCATCATCTTCACTTTTTCAAATACTTAAAGGAATGATAGTTCTACCATGAAACCTGACCTTAAGAAGGGAATCTCGCTTTTCCGCCCGCTGCCCCCTCCCCCCTAGCGCCGCTCCGGCTGCACAGCGCTCGCTCCGAGCTTCGGGCTCCTGCTAAACCAGCGCCGCCGTCCTCTCCCGTAAGCCACCATCATGATTATCTACCGGTATCTCATCAGCCACGATGAGATGCTCTCTGACATCTACAAGATCCGAGAGATCGCGGACGGGCTGTGCCTGAGGTGCAGGGGAAGATGGTCAGTAGGACAGAAGGTAACATTGATGACTCGCTCATTGGTGGAAATGCCTCCGCTGAAAGCCCGGAGGGCAAAGGTACCGAAAACACAGTAATCACTAGTGTTGATATTGTCATGAACCATCACCTGCAGGAAACAAGTTTCATAAAAGAAGCCTACAAGAAGTGCATCAAAGATTACATGAAATCAATCAAAGGCAAACTTGAAGAACAGAGACCAGAAAGAGTAAAACCTTTTATGACAGGGGCTGCAGAACAAATCAAGCACATCCTTGCTAATTTCAAAAACTACCAGTTCTTTATTAGTGAAAACATGAATCCAGATGGCATGGTTGCTCTATTGGACTACCGTGAAGATGGTGTGACCCCACATATGATTTTCTTTAAGGATGGTTTAGAAATGGAAAAATGTTAACAAATTTGGCAATTACTTTGGATCTGTCACCTGTCATCATAACTGGCTTCTGCTTGTCATCCACACACCAGGACTTAAGACACATGGGACTGAAGTCATCTTGAGATCTTCATTTATTTTGACCGTGATTTATTTGGAGTGGAGGCATTGTTTTTAAGAAAAACATGTCATGTAGGTTCTCTAAAAATAAAATGCATTTAAACTCAAAAAAAAAAAAAAAAAAAAAAAGGAATCTCCCCTTCATCTAACATCGTTCTTTGGCTATATCACTACTCTCACCCTTCCTCAAATTATAGCTACTATGTACATGTGTTACCTCTAGTTAGTCGCCAGGCTCTTCAAGAGCTTAGCCTACTTTGATTTGCCTACAATGCTTGGCATATAGTAGGTGCTTAAGAAATTACCAAATTTAAAATTTCTGCATGCTGTACGTATACTTCATTATACTTTGGAGGGAACTTGCATAATCAATGTACTCAGTATATGTATGTCCATTTTATAGAATATAGAACATTGTTTTATATTTATAGGGGCTTAGTTATATTACTGACTACAGCTATGTGACTTATTTAATGAGAAGTCCTTAGTAGGATTTTAATCCTTAATCACAACATTATCTCTGCAGGAATATATAATCCACTTTTCATTGCTTGATCTATACCCATTGTAATCCATTTTGATCTGCATTATAATGAAGCTTTAAGGAACAAATCAAGGCCAAAAGTCTATTTTATGGCTAGACAGAAGCCCAACCCTTAGAATATTTCAGTGATAAGAATATTACTAGATTATATTGATAGTGTAGACTAGTGTGGTAATTAAAAAAAAAAAAGTAAAGGTAAAAGAAGTCAGGCGAGGTGGCTCATGCCTGTAATCTCATCTACTCGGGAGGCTGAGGCAGGAGAATCGCCTGAACCTGGGAAACAGAGGCTGCAATGAGTGGAGATTGCACCACTGCACTCCAGCCTGGGCGACAAAGCGAGACTCCATCTCAAAAATGAAAAAATTTAAAAAGTTTAAAAAAAAATTAAAAGAAGGTAAATGAAAAATTTTAAAAATAAATATTCTAACCTGACAGGGTCTCACTCTGTCACCCAGGCTTAAGTACACTGATGTAATCATGGCTTGACCTCTCAGGCTCAAGTGATCCTGCCACCTCAGCCTCCTGAGTAGCTAAGACTACAGGTACACCACCACGCCTGGCAAATTTTTAATTTTTTGTAGAGCTGGGGGTCTCACTATGTTGCCCGCTAGTCTTGAACTCCCAGGAGTTCACCTCAAATGATCCTTCTGCCTTGGCCTCCCAAAGTGCTGGGATTACAGACATGAGCCACCATGCCCAGCCTATATTCTCTATGGAATGATTAATTAAATAAATAGAAGATGACGACCTTCATGGTAGTGTTAAACCACAGAAGAAAATCACTGTTAGAAAAACCAATATTAAAAATAAAAGAATAGGCTGGGCATGGTAGCTCTTGCCTGTGATCCCAGCACTTTGGGAGGCCAAGACAGACGGATCGCTTGAGGCCAAGAGTTCAAGACCAGCCTGGCCAACATGGCAAAACCCTGTCTCTACTAAAAATACAAAAATTAGCTGGACATGGTGGCGGGCACCTGTAATCCAAGCTACTCGGTAGGTTGAGGCAGGGAAAATTGCTTGAACCTGGGAGGCAGAGGTTGCAGTAAGCCGAGATTGTGCCACTATACTCCAGCCTGGGCAACACAGCAAGACTCCATCTCAAATAAACAAACAAACACAAGTAAAATATATCACTTTGGCAGGCTAAACTAAGTGTTGTTTTTAGTTATGACATTTTTTTTGTTTCCTTAATGTAGATTTTTAACTAAAATAGACCATTTGAACACT